TGGCCGGGTGGGGCGGCATGTGGCATGTGGCATGTAGGTATCTACGTTTATCTGTGGAGGGTTGGCTAACAAATACAAATTGTGTTTTTATATATATATGTATGTATATGTAAGTATTTACGTAGCTGCAAACGGAACGCAACGTTCTGCTTGGCTTACCTCAACGAGCAACAGCAACAACAACGACAACTAACAACAACGAGAACAACAAGCAACGTGTTGTATAAATTCATAAACGGCCGAGTTTAACGAACTACGTTTTGGGCTATGTGTTTTTGTTTTTTTCTCTTTTTTTTCGAGCCTTGCAATCCAATTTGGCGATCTCCATTCGCCTTTGCATGCTTCTCTGCACAGCGTTTGCATTGTTTTATTTATATTATTTTAGCTCGTTTTTCATTCTTTTTTGTTATTTTTTCATTCAGCATTTGCCAACTGAAGACGCTAACAAAAAACAGCAACAAGAAGTAGAAACTGAAATCGAAATTGAATTGGAAGTTTGCAGCAAACAATTTTGAAAGAATTTTTAATTCAATTAAGAATTTACACTTTCGACTCTCTTTTCAACAACTTTCAACTTCGCATTTCAATGCCGCCGCAAACTCCGGCGCAATGAAGCCATGAATGGGCCCTAAATAGAATTATACGGTTATTATCGTTGCTTGAATATGGAAGTGAATCAAAATGAGTCGAATTTCTGTATAAAAATGAATTTGAATTTGATTCAATTAGAAAACAAGCTGAAATTCCTGTTAAATAAATAATATAAACAGAATAATATAAAAGATAGTAGCTATAGCTGACTGAGATATGTCTATCGGGGCCAATGCGTAACCTAGACTGATCCCATCTTCCCTTTTCTTCTGCCATACACACACATATATATTTAACTGGGCTGCGAAAGTATATTTAATAATAATCAACTTATTGCGAAATTAATGTTGTTGGAATCATTTATCTGCATATTTATTTATCAGTCTACCCTATCTACATATGTATCAATTTATAATTTTATCAAAACCTAAATAAATAATATGTAACATGCTACACAAAAAATTCCTTTAAATTTCAGCTGTGGCACACGTCTGGATATATTTTTCTTTTACATGCTCTTACTCCCTCTCTCCCTGAATTTTACTTGTATAGAAATCGTGTATTATTTATCACATTTAACAGAATGTATCACTTTACACAAACCAAATCTGCTAACTACAAATAAACACGTGTGAGTGCTCTAGTAGAGACTGCTCGACTAGGAGATGCCCTAAGCTGTGCAAAGAACTGCTGTACTAATAATGATGATATTCCCTTTATGCATGCATATCAAACATACATAATTACGTAACTCACTGAAAATCGGAAGTCTCTTGGTCTAACAGTACATAAATTATGCATAATAATCAAAGTATCGACTATTATCGATACCCGGCGAATGGGATGAGTTATCAAACAAACAAATAAAAAGAAAGAAAACTTGTAAGCATTTCTAGCATTTACAGTTTTGGAGATTCGGCAGGTTGACATGACTTTATCCTATTCACTAATATATATACTCTATCTACCACGCTTACTACTGAATACTACTGAATGTTACATGCACTTCCACAAAACCATTCCAGCTTGATTTCAAATTTGTAATGGATTCAGGGAATACTGGAATGTGCAACGAAATGTAATATATGTTGTAAATACAGTAACTAAAACTGAAAGTTTACTGATCAAAACAGACCTTCTTGCTAAGAAACACAATATGTATTACAAAATGAAAACATAATATCCAACACAAACTAAATAAAGGGAGAAGAGTGTTCTATAGGCAGCTAATCCAAAGGTGGAATAAATTCAGAAGGCTTTAATGAAAACGTTGCAAGCAAATGCAAACTAAATGCCTTTTTGCCTAATACCTTGCCTGGCTCCACGCTTACCCCAGGCTCTGCTATACCTACATACATTTATCCTTACACATATATTTATATATATTCGAATGTGAGAAATAAAACCGATTTTCTAACGGCGCTGCAACATTCTTCTTATTTACGAGCCACGTAGCCATAAAACGCATACATAAATTTCCTTGGAGCCAAAACCAAAAAAAAAAAAAAATAGCAAAAGCGAAGCTTTTGATGGGGAACCAAAGTCGAAGTTGGAGGCATAAAGCATATATGAATGCAAGTCTGCTGGGCCCGAAAGGAATAAAGAAATTGATATAAATGTTTGTGCAAACAGCGAGGTTGCTGATGTATGAGTGTGTGTGTGTGTGTGTGAGTATAAATGGATGTGAGTGAGTGTAAGTGTGAGTGCAGGCAGTGTGCGTGCGTGGGTGTGATAGATAGAATTATGCGAAATGTGCGCAAATTTGTAGAAATCACTGAGAAAAGTGTCGTCAGCGCCAGCAGCTATTCGGATGAATGACTCTTTTATGATTCAAAAATGTGATACGATATCACAAAACGGGAAAAAAAACTTTATGTTCAATTTAAAATCACGCACTTAACTCTAAGCCAGACGCTAAGCCACTCTCAAGATAATGTGAACCCATTAAATTGCATGTGGAATATTGAATACCATTTAGCAAATCCTTTCATCCAGCGCAGGTCATATGGTACTGTGAATACCCTGCGATGAACAAAAGATGCAACCAATCACGAGGAGCACAAATGTTCTCCTTTCTCGAAACGCTCTAAACTAAATATCACTAAGCTGTTATATGTAGTATTATGATCTGATTGGCAATAGAGATTGACATGATTTGACTTATCAACTCATCTCTAATCAGAGCAGCATCATATGGCTTCCTCTTCTAGCCAATCTTCATTTCATACCAACATCGAAGAATACTCTGCAAGGGTCAATATGCAGATATTGCCTTATCAACTCATCTCTAATCGGATCAATGTATATCTTCTCCTTCTTCTAGCCTATTTAAATTATCGCACCTTGCCAATAGAAAATTTATATTGGTGTGAACGTGAGACACTCAAAATTGTCAGCAATTATCGATTATTTCAATACCACTAGGCTAATATAGTAATACGCTGATCATCAACAGCTATGTCAGATATTGCCTTATCAACTCTAATCGGATCAATATATGTATTCTTCTTCATCTAGTCAATTTTGATTTCATATCATGGTCAGAGCATCCTCTGCAAGAGTCTCAAAACTTTGTTTAGACAGGAAAGTGCAGCTCCTTTCGTAGCTCCGAGCTAAAAGCAAACTTTTGGCCAACTAAATTTCATCTGCTCCATGGAGCAAAACACACAGCTTTCCAGTTGTTATAGACGAGTTCTCCTTGCCCCCCTCCTGCTGCTCCTCCCTCTGCTGCTGTTGGCCTGGGAGATGGCAAAAACAATTTTCGATTATTACGTGCGCCCCGTGCTGGCGCTCTGAAGGGCTTTCACTTTACACTCACGGCAATAACCATTAATAAAAATGGCAGGCATTTAAAATTAAATGACTCCGTCGCACGAGCCTCGGCTAACTTTTTGAAGGACGTGGGCGGAGCGATGAAAACAAAAACTTTTAGGCAATTTCATTTGAAGTGGAGCAGCGGAATTTAAGACCATTTGCATATCAAAACAAAATGAAATCCAGCCTGCACAGCTGGCGGCGCCAATCGAAATACTCGTATTTCAGCTCCGGGCCCCTGTCTGGGGGCTCCTGCGCCTGTTTCGGAGCTTTTCGCGCCCGCCTCCTGCTGGCCGGGTGTTGGCGCAAAACAATTAGCGGAAAATTTCTTGAACGCGCCGCGCGATTTCAGTTAATTGCACATATTTTGGTTAGAGCTCCCATCCCAGCCGCCCCGTCAAAATATCTTTAACATGAATTTATAAACAATAAAATTCCAGCTTAATTAAATTTTATTGTGTGCAGTCAGCGCTGTCAATTTAGCCATATTTTCGTGCTGCTCCAAAACTTTTTCTCGTTTATTTGTTTGTTTTCAATTGACCCTATCAAATTAAGTGTTGAACAGTATTGTTACTTTAGCCATTCTATTGGACTGATTTAATCTGAAAGCCGGCATTCAATATGATGATTGCCGTTCCATATTTTAAATGCTTTTTTAATGAATATGACTTAAGCATTTTAATTTTTTCAGAATCTATAGGATCTGTTGTAGGATTTAAATTATAAAAAACCAGGAGCGTCGTCAATATGCCACAAAAATCTTGCAATATTTCTAAGCATTCCCTTGAATATATATTAACTTGGATCTGTTGTATGATTTAAATTAGAAGAACAGAGGAGCGTCATCAATATAGAACGAAGTCTTGTAATATATCTAAGCATCCTCTTAAATATATCTTGACTTGTATCACTTCCATGACGACTATTATAAATAAGAAATTATTAGGTCTTCACGATTACCAGCTATGCACATAATCATAATCACAATCAAAACAATTACATACTTTTCCGTTTAAAAAATATATATGTACTAATTTTTTTTGTAAGTTTCTTTTTCACAGTTTATTGGGTTTTATGTATCCTTTTCAGGGGTTTGGGCAGCTTGGGTAGCACTGATGGACAGACTTTAGGAAATTCTATTCTGTCAAATTTATGCGCAATTGATTGAAAACATGAAACGGCGGCTGTCGGCAAACGCTTTAGCGCCAGCTGCTCAGGACGTGGCTCTGGCTGGCCATCAGCGTCGGCAGGAGTCGGAGCAACCGTTTTTAAAAATAATTGTCCATAAATATAAGAGCGTCACATAAAAGAAGAGCGATCGGGCGCTTAATCCTTTACTACAGTTACATAAATTGGCCCAGGGCCTTGCTGCAAGGACTGAGCCAGAAAGTCCTTTTGCATTTTTATTGATATTCCTTTAAAATTATTGTGTTGATTTATTTATATATTTGATTTTCATATTTTGGCCTTTGGCACAAGCTTACAAGAGCTAACACACTTGCCACACACACTCACGCACACAGAGAAACAGGGACATAGTCTTATGAAATATGCATGCCACACTTATGAATGAACAAATTGTTGCAAGTACTAACCACAGAATCGCAGCTAGTTAATTTCCTTGCTGAATGCTTTCAATCAATTTAATTATTTTTTGTAATTATTTTCAAAGGTATTTTTTATTGTGTTTCACCGCGTGATTTATTTGGTTTTTGTTGCGAGTTTCGGTGGGACTGGCCCCATTGATTTGCCCGTTGGGGTAGGTTGATAGCTTGTTCCGTTTGCACTAGGTCTTGGCTACTGTTTCCACTGTTAACTTGGCGCGACTCTCGCGTACGCCGCAGCTCCGTACTAACCCGCACGAGATCCCAAAGTGAACTGAGTCGAACGCCAGCGCTCGACGTGCACGTTCTTAGTGGAACGTAACGAACGACAACGGGCGACTCATGCGGCCGACGCATAGGCTGAGCAGTCTGAGTGGGCGGCGGAACGTTTGGAATTGGCATCGAGGCTGCCACGGAACGAGCTCGAACATGTTCGAGCATGCAACATGTTGTGTTTACGTTTTTCACAACAATCCCCAGCGCCAGTCACTCGCACAACAAAAGCCGGTTTGAGCGTGTTGTTAAGGCCCGTGCTGCGGCAACATGAGTCTGCAACCTTTCAAGCAAATTGTCAGAGGCCAGTTTTATAGCATATGTCAAATGTATATTCAATATACACATATATTGCATGATTAGATGACAAATATATAATAATATATATATGATAAATTTCAGTGATTTAATTAATTGATGAAATAATCAAAATATTGTAGAGAGAAACAAAATTTATGCAATTTAGTCATTATTAAAATATTCACTAGTTTTTATATATAAATAAAATTCAGTAACTAAATTAATTGATAATATATATTTATAGTGAAATCTAAATAGCCATAATATGTAAAAGTCAAATTCATGTATAAATATTTTATAGACCTGCACGCCTAAGTTACTAAAATAACTGTGAACTATAATATACGTTTAATAAATTATATTAAATTTACCTCATAATTTAAAGAAATATTGGGTTCATTTTGGAATCCTGCTGCGTATTTTACATTAATTATTATGAAATTGTATCAAACGTCAAGGCCTGACAAAATATTCCGTCGTTAATATTTGATAAATTTGCCAACGTGAACTACTATATTAATTATAAATTCTATTTTTCGGAAATTATAAGGAATGGCATATGCATCAAATATTTATAATGTGTAAAAGATATTAAATAAAAGCTAGAATACATATAGTTTAGAGAGTGTATGGAGTATATATCATTATATACTATGAGACTTTGCTAATTTAGACCATAATATGGAATATATTATATTCATCATTTCAAAGTAGATAGCATTTCATATCAGGAGCAAATGAACCGATCTACTTAGATTAGAACCCCAAAAACAGAGAGGGAGATGAGACAAATCGAATGCAGGAAACTGTTGAAAAGTAGTACGTAACAAAATGTTTGAGAACTGCATAGAAGGGAGCTCATTCAAGCAAAATAAACGAATGGAATTGAGTAGTAAAAAATGTTACAATTAATGAACAACAAACTGAAAGTCAAAATTAACTTTACGAGAAGCACATATGGAATAAGAGCCAAATATAGATATAATGTTATCGATATTTTTTATAAAACGCTAAATTTTATGAAAAATTGTGTTTGCTTAAGCATATGAGAATCTCATAGAAGAGCAATAATTCAAAGATAAACAGAAAATTAATCACAACGACAAGGCAATTTTTCTACGACTTCTATAGGAGAAGTTACATAAAAATAAATGTTTATCAGTTTATGTAAACCTTTTGTATGACAAACTCTTCAGTCGAAGCTTTCTGCTTGACTGAACGGTACGCTGTAATGACTTTTAAGTGCTCAGATATCCGTGGACTCTATTTAGGCATATGCCCTGATTATGTGGGACAAATTACGGGCCCCAGGTAAAGCGTAAAACGCATCGTTGACTTTGCGACTCGTTCTCCATTATCTGCTCTTCTTTCTGCCATTCGTTCGCGGTCTACATCAGTTCTTTTTTATGGGCGGGCACGCCCCAAAGACGCGACACGCCCACCTTTTCCTTTGCCTCTTCACGGGAGGGGCAGAGACAATGTTTAATTAACCATTTTTGGCGACACATGCGAGGTCAATGCGAGATTTGTACGAGAACTGTTAAAAAATGAGAAGCAAACGATAAACGGTAAAAATATACATATATAGCGAGCATGTGAACTCTATTATCGGATATGCCGCCTAAGCCCGCAGGTGTTGAATGATGCAAAATGCAAAAAGAGCGGCGAAAGGAGAGAAAGGAGTGTGTTAAGGAACTCGGGAAAATTTGACAACGTGCTGTTGAACGTTTACCCAGCGAAATTCCCATTAAAATCAAAAGGCATTTCAGATATTTCAATGCGCGGCGCGAGAAAGTGTTGCCGCGGGGGAGGAGGTGGTGGTGGCGTGCAGGTCTGGGTGGTCGGGAGTGGGGCACCACTCAATGGGAGCCAGAAACTAAGACGAGGCGACAGCAGCTTAGCAGGAAGCCTCTGACGCTGACAACACGTAGCTAATGACTAATGGACTCTTAATGATCTAACAAGGTGTACACAGAGAGAGTGGCAGAGAGAGAGAGAGAGAGATGGAGAGAGACATATACAAACACAACAAACAACATGCAATGAGGCGAAGGATGCGATGCGGCTGCTGCTGCTGCTGCTGGTGTTTGGCGGATGCGCGATGTTGGTGACAAAGTTCAAAACTTAATAATGCCACATTAGTTTCGGCAACAGTTCTAGTGAAAGAGTGAGAGATTGAGGGAGAGAGAGAGAGGGAAAGAGCGAGGGAGAGAGAGTTGTTAGCGGATGCTGCAGGTACTTTACACAGCAAGCAGCGTGCAACATTGCCAAGTGGCTGTGTGGCACGTCGCCCTGCTGCGCTTTGCATGTATGCAAAACGCGTCCTTAAAGGACACGGCGGATGCAAAAAAAATTCGAGTAAGGGTGCCTTGCGCGGGAGTTAACGACTGTATGATACTCTCTATGTCTGCTATGTGCATGTTATGTGTATGTTGTGAGAATGTAAGGTGTAGGCAGTGTGTATGTATGTGTATGTTATGTGTATGTCATGTGATGCCATTAGTAAGTGATAAAAGTGAGCACAATATATATCTCAACAAATGATTAGATTAAAATCCAAAGATATAAGAAATTGACAGATTATCGCTTTCATACATACATAAGGACAGCTAGAATCAGTCTATCTAGGCACGCTGAGTTCAACATTGCTATTTTATTTGATAGCAAATATTTATTTAGCATATACAAACGATATATTTTGCTTGCAGCATACGTGCTAACAGAGTTATTATACTCATAGTATACCCACTTGCAATGGGTATAAAAAAGCCAACAAAATGGCGTAAGAATTAAATTAGTAAATTTTGTTACAAAGTTGTTGCAACTCGGTTACTGACCAGAGCTAGACCGTCAGCACAGCTCTGGACGGGATGTTGCGCAACGCTTGATGCTTCTCCGGCTCCTGCTACGCTATTTCTACTCCTGCTGGTGGTTCTGACGTTGCTGTTGCTGGTGCTGGTGCTGGTGCTGGTGCTGTAGCTTCTTCAACATTTTGCGCTATTCATACGCTTCATTTATCACATCGCTGTCAGGGCAGACTGTCTGGTTGCCGTGCTTAGCCTAGGTGAAGGCCAGGTAAGCTCCACAGCCGAAATTAAGCTCTGCTAACCGAGAAAACGCGAAACCGCTTTACACGCCGCCGCACAAAGCAAACGCTTCCAACATATGTCAAGTAATCAGCAGCTAACTTTGCCAGAGATCTGCCTCTGCCTTTGCCTTAGCAGTTGCCTTTGCCTCTGTTTCTGGCTCTGTCTCTGCCTCTGCTCCACATCTGTCTCTGCCGGCAAGTTGGAACTTTGTGACGCCAGGCTTCGCGGCACATGCCAAGCATAAAATTGAATATGTATCCAAGAATCCAGCTCGCTGTCCCCTCGCCCACAATGAGCCCACCAAAGGTAACTCACCAGACGAGCCGACGAACTGTGCGTTGAGCAAACCTTGCAAAACAAATCCCAAGCAGCGTCGTCGGCGCTGACGTCGACTGCGATGCCAGTTCACGCCTCGATGCGCTCCTCGCCAGGGGCGCACTCGAAGGGTCATAAAAGTGAAAATACAAAGTCAACAATTGTTTAGAATTAAAAAAAAAAGAGCTGTAAACACATAAGTATGTTCCCATTTATTAACTTTAAAAAACAAATAAAAAAATAAAACAAAAATAGGTTTTTAAGTTAAGATGTTTTCTAATGATGCGAATATAATAATAAAACGTAATAGGTATAACGTAAAACAGGTTTTACGTAGTTTCGCCTAGTTTAACGATCATTTGGCCAACGCATAGTCCGCCCCTGTAGCCGACCTCCCCTGGCATGAAACGTAGTCGCCGTCATTCTGAACGAGGCTGAAACTGAATGAGGGGAAGAGAGAATTTAGGGTCTATGGGCATAGATTTGGGTATAGGAAGTGGAGTGGACAGACCGACGCCGACAAATTTTGACTTGTCGTTCTGCTCGACTGAATCGCGACTGCGACTGCGACGGCGACGGCGACGGCAACTGTGGCATGGCCGGGCGTGGTCAGGGGCGAGGGGATGCTTTTGTTTACATTTTAACAACAACTGCGAACAGAGACCCATAAAGCACACGGCAACCGCAAAATTTCAGCTCTGGCAACTGCTTGAGGCGGGGGTTCGACCAACCGAGGGGATCGAAAATGTTGTTGTTGTTGTGAAATTTAATGTGCATGGGAATGTTTGCCTGTTTTTTCATTTTAACATATTATTTATGCCGTGTATTTCGTGTGTTTCAGTCGAGTTGTTTAGCCAATCGACGATAGTTTAAAAGCCACCCTGTTGTCTCTCGCACTCCTACTAAAAAATAAAAAGGTAAAAAAGTGAAAGAATACAACGGTAATTTTCACAAAGGGATGCTTGTCTATGCCGTCGCCGAGTGGCAATTCAGTTTATTATGCGTTATAATCAACAGCAAGCACAACAACAACAACAACAAGCGACAGGCAAACAGCAGCAAGTGCCACCAATGCAAAGGACACAGCGAGCATCCTTGCTGGGCAATGCACCATTCGCCATTCGCCACTCGCCATGCAGCAGTTACTGCTGTTTAGCCCGCTTGCATTTCCACCTTTTTTTTTTTGTGCTCAACTGCTGCTGTGGGGCCCTGACTGTGACTGCTGTTAAGTGCTTTCCACCTGGCGGGCAGACGAGAATTCCACCCAGCCAACCAGCCACCCACCCACTCACCCAACCACTCACA